GCGGAGGTGCGCGCACACAGCAGGTACACCAGTCACATGGGGCTGGCCTGCAATCGGCCGCTTGGGCTGCCGTACCTCTGGGGCCCCGCTGCCACACAGCGCCCTGGGCCCGCAGGCAACCCGCCGGAAGCGAGCCCCTGGCCGGTCGCTGCGACAGCCGGCGCCGGTGCGCTGTGCAGCGCACGCGCAGGGGTCTGCTGTTGGAGGGTGCGTGCAGCCGTGCGCCCCTCCCACCAGACCAGCCCGCTCACCAGGGTTCACGTAGATTAGGCCCAGTGTCTGAGGAAGGTTCAGAGTGTAAGGTTAGGCGGTGTGAATTCCACAGGCCAGGGTTTCGGGTCGCAGGGGTGCAACAGGCGGATTTCCGGTGGTCGGGAGTTGGATGGGAAAGCCTCCCTACACCAGGACGAGCTGGGGTTGGGACCAGGTGAGGCCCTTGAGGCACCGCGCGGCACCTGGCGGCAGCGGCCAGAGCTGCCCTTGATGCAGCGCAGATGCACACACACACACACACACAGGTACACACACGCAACCAAAACTGCGATTTCAACAGCCCACACAGACACACAGGCACTCATCCACATGCGCCCACCGTCTGCCCCAGGGGATCCCCGCAGTTGCCGTCGCCGGCCGTGCACGGCGCCACCAGCTGCTGCTCCGGCGTCGGGCCCAGCTCCAGGGAGGCGGTCCCGTCGGCGTCGTCGATCCTGCCCTTGCAGAATGGGATCTTGGGGCCACCCATTGACTCAATGGCCGTGTCGCCAGCGAGGACAATCAGGTCACCCCATGAGAGGGCGGCGCCGTATTTGGCCTTGATGGGCTCCAGCAGCTTGCGGGCCCTGGGGGTAGGCGGGTGGCGGGGTCGCAGTGTCACAACACATGTGTTTGCGTGTGTGGATGGCAAAACACACATATATGTGTGTGTGTTTGTGTGTGTGTGTGTGTGTGTGTGTGTGTGTGTGTGCACCCACGCGCAAGCACAGGTGCGCAAGAGTAAACGACTGTGCATGCGAACGCATTGTGCGAGTGGTCGTGTGTGATCTTGCCCCCTCCTCAACACCACACCAGCACCGCGCCCATCTCTCAGGGGCGGCTCCCCTGGTTGTCAGCGCGCCTTTGGGTGTGCGTTTATGGTCCCTGCACACCGGCCCCATGCAGAGTCGGAGGATCACAAACCCCCACCCACTTGTCAAGGTTTGTGTTGTCAGGCCAGGCCAGCTCCGGCGTGAAGCGGATGCGCGCGCCGTTGCAGCCGCCGCGGCCGTCCCACTTCCGGTACTGCGGAGACCGGCGGGGGCGCAGAGGGGTGCGTTTTTGGTGGCTGGGTTCCGTGCGGGCGTGGGATAAGCGAGCAACAGGCGTCGCGACGTGCCTCATGTGTCGCTTTTGGCTCGAGTATTGCTTGCCCGTGCGCCAGATTTGTCGCTGGCACCCTTCCACCTCGCCGCGCCCCATACTGCCAGGCGGCCTAGCGCCACCCTCCCTCGAAACGCGCGCTGCCCGAGCCCGCGCCCGTGGCCCAAACCCCCGCCCGCGCGCATGGGCGTGGGCGCCGCGGCGCGCACCGATCCGTTGCAGTGCCATGCGAGGCGTATGAAGAGGCCGCCATAGTGGCCAAAGTCGGCCGGCCAGAAGGCCTTAGAGTCTGTCATGAGGGCCGTCAGGTCTTTCTTGACTGCCGCCACATCAAGCGCCTCGACAGCCTTGATGTCACTCTGTTGTGGGTGGTGAGTGTGAATGCAGATTCAGTGTGTTTGTACGCAGGACGGCGGCTTTGTTCATGGAGACATGGGTGGTGAATGTATGTGTGCAGTGGGGGAATGGGGACGTGCGGCGCAGGGATGTGCGCTGAGTTGGAGTCCTGTGGGGTGGAGTATGGGTGAGGATAGACCGCGTTTTGGGCTGGTGCAAAGTTGTCGCAGGGCTGGCAGCAGCCGTCAGCCAGCGGGATAGGAAGCGCAAGGGAAGGTAACTTCGCGCTCCCGAGCGCCGCAGCTCGTGCGCATGAGGGGGGGCGGGTTGTGGCCCGCCTGATGATGCGCTGAGTGAGCGCGAGGCGGTCGGGCTGGCGGTGGCTGCGGCGGGACAGACGCACGACGCTGCGTGGCAGCCGCTGCCCCGGGTGCACACGGGCGCTTTGCAAATTTGGGGGAAGCGCCTGCCAGCAAGTTGGGATCGCGCGCTTGGGCCACACCTGATGCAGCAATCGCCTGCTCACAACCGCCGCGGGCTCATGAAAGAGGGCGTCGCCTGCGCTTGCCCCGCCCAGCTGCTGCCACATGGCAGAGAACGGGCAGCCCGCCATAGCCAAAGACGGCATCAGCACGAGCACCGGCAGCAGCCGCTGCCACCGGGCGACCGTCATAGCGGAGGGTGATCTCGGAGCAGCGGGAGGAGGCCGCCAACCACGACGGGTTATCAAAGCAGGTACGTTGATATTGTATATGATCAATGACGGCCGTCGAATTCTCGAATGAACCTTAAATGAGTGCGCGCAGAGCCCAAGTAAAGTGAGTTAGCTGGGTCACAAAATCAGGCGCCTCTCCTGACGACCGCGGGTGTCAAAAAGTGATGTAAATAGAAGCTGAAAGTACCACCTGTCCAGCGATGATTACAAAGCAGTGGGTCATAACGAATCTCCGCAGGACCAACAGCCACACACATGCCGTGTCAGCAGGCACGGGTGCATGACCCGTGCGCTGTTGATGGCGAAAGCGCAAGCTTGACATCAGGTGTACTGATACAGACAGATTACTACAATGAAGTGGTGTCAGGTGTGTTTTCTGAATGTCACGCCAGCACCTCGCCAGGCGCACGTCAGCCACCCCGCCACCTCGGATGACTCAGCGATACTGGGGCCGCCCTGTGCACTTGCAGTCTGCTGACCTTGGGGCTGGCCAGCCGAACCAACACTCTAAGATCTCAATAGCACAGATGGAAGCCGCCAGCGGCGGTGCACCCGCGCGGCGCCAGGAATGATTACGCCTGAACGCGTCGCACGACCCTTCCCTCCGGTCCCGCGATGACGGGGCTCTGCAGATCGAGGTGATTCGGTACATCCCCTGTGTTCCTCCGTGCATCGACAACCCTGCACACACTCTACGCACGACTCACGGCCCTACACACTAAGAACTTGAAACACCATCCACCCCACCCCATGGCAGCCCGCCGTCGCCGCGAACGTTTGGTCCCCGCCCACCCAGAGCGCCCTCGCCACACTAATCGCAATCCCTTGGCCGCCGCCTTGGCACAGATTGAGGCGGACGCTTCAAGCACGGTCCTGGCACTCCCTTTCACAGAAATGCATATCACGTTCTGCATGGGCTCTCTGCGGGCAGCCCATGCTGACGGCGAACACGCCAAAAGTGGCGACACTGCTGCAAGTGCCGTTCCGGCTGCAAGCGCAACGCCAGCGCCACCGGTCACGCGCCCTGCTGCGCCCGCCACTGTCTTGACAGTCCTACACCGAGCAGCCGCCGCCGCCGCCGCCAGCGGCCCCATCTTCTTGCGACACGCCCACCCTGCTTGCGATTGCGACGGCAAGTGCTGGAAGTCTTGCTAGTCGGCGCTGCATGCTCCCATCTTGCCAGCCTACCTGGGCAAATGCCTCGTGATCAAGTGGCAGCGTTACAGATCGAGAGCCTATAGCTGGGTGCGGCTCCGGCCGCCGCGGCGTCCGGCGAAGTAGCAAGCCCAGGTGCGGCCAAGGTGGCCGCGAAGGCGAGGTGAATGCGCAGGTTTGCGTGAGGGGCAGCGCCCCTGCCCGCCTCTGCCGTAGGAGGCTTCGCGCAAGGGGCCCTCCCTTCCGCTGCGCTGGGCGGAGAGGGGTGCCGCGAATTCAAGCCCGCGGGGAGGGAAAGCGAGGCGGCCGCGACGCAGGCGGCAGCAGCAAGGACCGGCCGGGAGGGGGGCGGAGGGCAACGGTGCAGCGTGCGCAGGCGGCCGCACTCGGGCAACGCAGGCCGGCGGCGCAGCAGCGGCGGCGGTGGGATACGGTTACTGTGCGGCGCCCGCCTTTTGCGGCGCGGGCGGTTGTACAAGGGACGGTGCGTATGCGTGTTTGATTGGCGCCGGAGCGCCGCGCCCCGCGAGTAATAGCCGCGGGGTGGCCGCGTCACCGGCGGCGCCCGCACGAAAGGGCTGGTGCGTGCGCCAAGTGTGTTTGCGCGGCGGGCCGCTGGCCGCCGCAAAAGCCAGACACAGGGGTACTCTCGCGCGCGCGCGCGCGTGAGAGGAGAGACAGAGAGAGGGAAGGGGGGGCCAGGACAGGTGCGGCTTGCGGCGAGGACCGGCCAGCAACCGCCCCGCTTTGTTCGCCGCCCGCCCGCTCGAGAGGGCAGGCGCCAGCGGCTGCACCCACGGCGGCAGCGGCGGCGGTAGCAG